GGCCTGCAGGCTTTTTTTAAAATTGACATGAAAATTCAAAGAATTTAAAATCATTAGGGTTAACATGCCATTATTTCCAGAATCAATACACATTTATAATATTTATTTGTGTAGCTTCCCACACTAGGGAGACAAAACGATGATTACATGTATCACACAATCCCAGTTGTGTTTTCCTGTAGAGGAGTTTCTTTCCCTTTCACACTACCTATTGTACCTTTTGAATATTGTTCTTTCAGTTTCTTACACGAGGGAGACAATGTGTTGTTTACACATGTGAGTCTGATTTATTTCACTTAAGAGTATGGTCTCCAATTGCATCCATTTACCTATATAAGTCTCCAGTTATTCCTTTTTGATGGCTGAGTGGCACTCCATGGTATAAAAAGACCACATCTTCTTTATTCATTCCTCAGGTGATGAGCATTTGGGTTGTGTCTAAGATTTAGCTATCACAAATTGGACTGCTAGGGGACAGGGGATAGTGCAGTGGAATAAGTGTTTCCCTAGCAGTGCAAGGTCCTGAGTTTGATCCGTGGTACTGCAAAAGTAAATAAATAAATAAATAAATAAATATAAATAAATTGGACTGCTATAAATACGGGTGTTTTGGTATGATGTTTTCAATTCTTCTGGAAAAATAACCAGAAGAGGAATAGTTGGGTAGAATAGGGACCTCTAATACTAGTTGTTTAAAGAATCTCCACACTGATTTCCATAGTTGTTATACCAGTCTACACTCCCACCAACACTGGAGAAAGGTCCCTTTTTTATTAGTAGTATTTTTTTTTTTTATGTATTTAGTATAGGGTCTACAGGGTCTCACTACACAGATCAGACTCATAGTGATTCTCCTGCCTTCAGCCACCCAAGTGCTGGGATTACAGGCACGCACCACCACGTCCAGTCTCAGTGCACTGCACAGGATGGCATGCCAAGGACTGAACCCTGGTCTCTGTATCTACCTAAGCAGGCACTTTAATCCACTGAGCTATCTGCCAGCCCTAAAGATCCCTTTTTATCCACAGCCCTACATACATTTGTTTTTGGTTGATTTCTTGATGATAGCCATTTTTTGGGGGGTTGAGATGTAATCTCAATGTTCTTCTAATTTGCATATTTCAAATGACCAATGATGTTGAACATTTCTTCATATATTTGCATGCTCTTTGTATTTCTTCATGTGAGAAGTGTGTATTCATTTCAGATGCTCATTTTTGCATTGGATTTCTGAATTTTGATTTTTTTTCTCCTTTTTTTTTTGGTACCAGGGATCAAACTTAGCACCTTGTGCTTGCCAGGCAAGCACTTATGCTGCTGAGCTATCTCCCTGGCCCTTCAAAGTTCTTTATATATTCTTCATAGTAATCCTCTATCTGAGCAATAGCTGACAAACACTTTTTCCAAGATTGTTGTTTGTCTCTTCACTCCATTAGTTTTTTTTTTTTTATGAACAAAAGATTTTTAATAAGATGAGATCCCAGTTGTTGATTCTTTGTGATACTTCCTGTGAGATCAGGATTTTAAAATTTCATAAAGTCTTTGCCTACACCAGTGTCCTCAAGAGTTTTACCAATTCTATTTTCCACCAGATTTAGTGTTTCTGTTTTAATATTTAAATCTTTGATTCATTTCAAATTTATTGTTGTGTGTGGAAAAATATGGATCCAATTTTAAACTTCAGCAAGTGAGAACTGATTTTTTCAACACCTTTTATTAAAGAAGCTATGCGTCTTCCAGTGAATATGTTTGATACTTTTGTCAAAAATAAAGTATCAGGGGCCAGGGAGATGGCTCAGTGGAATAAGCGCTTCACTGGCAAGCACAAAGACCTGAGTTCAATCCCCAGTTTAAAAAAAAAAAAAAAAAAGTATCTTGGGGTCAGCCAGATAGCTCAGTGGACTAAAGCAACTGCTTAGACAGAGTGCAGCCGCTGGGGCTCGATCCCCCATCATGCCACGCTAGCCCTGTCCTAGGGGCAATTGAGACTGGGTGTGTGTGATGGCGCATATCTGTAATCCCAGCACTAGGGAGGCTGAAAACAGGAGAATCACTATGCGTCCCATCTACATTGTAAGATCCTGTAAACCCTGCCTTAAATTCATTAAAATAAAAAAAGTGTCTCAGTGTGTTTGGAATTGTTTCTACCTTCTAATCTCCATTGATCCTTGGGTCTGGTGTGTGTATGTGTGTGTGTGTGTGTGTGTGTGTGTGTGTGTGTGTCTTTAAGACCATACTAATTTTATCACAGTAGCTTTGTAATATAGTTTCTATTTGGGGATGTTGATGCTTCCAGCCTTGCCTTTATTAACCAGGATTGCCTTTGCTATTCTAGGTCTCTTCTGGCTCTGAATGAACTTTAACATTGTCTTCTCTAAGTCTGTGAGATATGCTGTTGGAATTTTGATAGGAATTACATTAAACATGGATAACAGTTTTGGAATAGTAGCCATTTTTCACTATATTGGTTCTTCACTCAAGAGCAAAGGTTATCTTTCCATTTTCTGATATCTTCTTCAGGACGCGAGGGAGGTAGCTCAGCTGTGTAAGAGCCTCCATGGCAAGGGCAAGGTCCTGAGCTCAATCCCTGGTACCAGAAGAAAGAAAGAGAAAGAGAAAAAGAAAGAAAGAAAGAAAGAAAGAAAGAAAGAAAGAAAGAAAGAAAGAAAGAAAGAAAGAAAGAAAGAAAGAAAACTGTCTGATACCCTCTTCAATCTTTTTCCTTTTATAATTTATTTTTTGCTGCAGATCGAAGATAGCACCTTTGCATTGAGCTATACACCTAGAATTAATGTTTGTATTAATTTATTTTTCACTTATAATTTTTAAATTTTAGAGAGAATAAAAATAGTAGAAACATTAGAACTGATACAGAATTTCACTACACACAGTTATAGGAATTCAACAATGATTGTTACATGGCATATTGTTGTCTTTAAATTAGTTGTTTAGATTACCAGATATGGGCCGGGGAGATGACTCAGTAGAATAAGTGCCTGCCTGGCAAGCACAGGGTCCTGCGTTCAATTCCTGGTACCACAAAAAAATCTATAGATTACCAGATATAAGCATGCAAAATTGGTCAAAAAGTTATAAAAAATGAAAAAGGAGGAAAAGAAGCATCAATTGCTTTTCTCAATAGACCAGCAGAAATCAGCAGTAAAATTATCTAAGCTATCCTGTGCATACACATACATACTTTTTTCCCTTCCTTCTTTTATTTCTCCTTTCCCTCATCCCAGTTGTTCCTTCCTTTTGAAAAGATTCTTTCCCTTTCACAGGATCTATCACACTTTTCCAGTTCTATCTATTCTTTCAGGTTCTTGCACTAACAAGGCAGTATGATGCGTATACATGTAGGTTTGACTTATTTTGCCTATGATTATGATCTGTACTTGCAACCATTTACATATAAAAGCTTTGTGCTTGTCTTTTTTAAAAAAATAGTTTTACTTATTTGTTTTTTTTTAAACAATGTCAAGCAGGACTCAAAGTTTTGATCCCTGCCCTACCCTCCTAGAGCGTGGGCGAGTGAGGAATTGGATTTGTGTTACCTTGTAAAATCTAATGACTCAAGACTAAACCTGTGGAGCTGAGAAGTTATGAAAGGAGATCGTACTAGCAAAGCTGTATAAAATGCTTTCACCCATTAACTGACAGGTTTCCAAACAGTTTGAATATTAGTCATCGCAGATATGCCTGATGAAAAGGGTAGCATGCTAGAACATCTGCAGTGCGCATAAATACCCTCGACTAAGCTAACCTCAAAGAGAAAATCAGCTTCAACCTTCCACAAGGCTAAGAAGCTGGGTGAGCAGTTTCACATTAAGTGGCTGATAAAGTTCTCTGAGTGTGAAACTCTTTGCTGAGTTACCCTTTTGTGACAGTGATCTTTCCAAAATATATTTGAGCTCTGACTATTCAGTGAATTAGGTTATATAAACTGAAAGCTAATGTACCAAAATGGGAACACAGGATGATTAATATTCCTACATTACCGTGACTTGGTGGAATGACGAAAACACTCACTGAACCTCAGAATATACCAAATTCCAAAAGTCAAGCACATCATAATATTTGTTTTCAAAAAGTAGCAGCACTCATAGTAGTATTGATTTGAACCACTGGATTCCTAAAAACATACAAATCTAGCCTCAAGTAGAACCAGCCTGTCAAATGAAGACTGTTCTAAAGAACCTCCATGGTATGACTCTTTTGAGTCTGAACCCTTCATTATTGGTGGCAGAACTGCTTGTCAGGGACTAGCATTGTTTTTTTTTTTTACATGCTAGAGGAGGCTGTGTCCTGCCAGGGACCTCTGGGAGTCCTGGGTGTCAGGGCCAGAAGCTGTGCACAAAGAAACACAAGTGTGTGCCTTGCTGTGGGTAGCTGCATGGTTTCCTCGTCAGTGACATGACTGGACGCAGCCAAACAGCACCATGGTAAGATGGGGGTAGGATTTTCTTTTTGACTTTTTTTTTCCTCTTGTAAACAATAGACTCAGAGTTTAAATTCTATTCTGTGATAACCCATTGTAGAAACCCATACAGAAAATCATGTACTAAATTCATGTTTCTCAACTTCCAAAAAAAAAAAAATCCTGCGAAATCATTTCAGGCCAGACCAAAGTTACATCGTGTTAGCAGGCTCGGAGGAGAGGCTGGGTAAGTTTATGAGTTGGAAATTGCCTCTCTGAGCCCAGAGAATATTGCTAATATAAAATGAACTTTTAAAGTACTGATCTACAAATCGCCTGTCATGTACCTTAAGAAAACTTGTTTGAAATCACAGTAAGATCATGACTCAACATCTCAGAGTTGTTGCTTGTAGATTTGCCAGTATGAAAGATCTTTTCAGGGCGTGAATCATTTGAAGATGCTAAGAATCGATGATGAAACCACACTCTGGAGTTGGAAAAGAGACGAGGCTGCTTTAAGAGAGAAACAGGAAGTTGTAACTAGAAGCCGGCTGAATGCTAAACCAGGGTAGAATGCTTGTGAAGTGGCAAGTCAAGTAGCTGTGTTTATTCTGTAATTCTCAGACAGCCAGACTGTCTTGGGCAAATCTTATTAAAACAGGCTTTATCTAGGATTTTATCTAAGGAATCCCAAGAAGACTGGAGAATGGAGAGACGACAAAGGTTTATGTCAGAGAAGGATGAGTATCACTTTCAGCATCAGGGAGCGGTGGAGCTGCTGGTCTTTAATTTCTTGCTCATCCTTACCATTCTGACAATCTGGTTATTTAAGAATCATCGATTCCGCTTCTTGCATGAAACTGGAGGAGCGATGGTGTACGGTGAGTGCGTAAATTGTGAGATTGACGTGAAACTTGTTGCTTGGGTGTAATTAGAGGCTTGTGCTCAGATGGCAAAGTACTGAAACGGGGGGAAATGCGCTGATTGAAATGTCATTAGCTTGACAAAAGGTGCTGCGGCTTAATGAACGCTAATCTCTTTCCAGAGAAGCTCCGAAATTTGCCTTGTCACAAGAGCCAGTGTCACAGTCATGCTCACAGGCAGCACCTACTGCAAGGCTGTGGGCAGCTGTGGGTTCCTTGTTATGTGCCGAGTCCAGTCAGGGGAGCTGTTTGTTTTTAATAAAGGTCCTGGGAAGTGATGGCTCCGCAGTCCCACGGCAGCCTTTCTGCACAAGCAGCCCTGATGAGCAATATAAAGTTCTAGAAATGACTTCTCTTAAAATTCTAGGAGGGAAATCCTTCTATGTCAAGTAATTTCAGGAGGAAAACCTGCAGAACCAGATTCCACCCCTCTTTGGGAATAACTTTCCAAATCAGTTTTGATTAAATAGGTGTTTTATTTTCTTATAATAATGAGTATTGGAGCTGGGGAGATAGCTCAGTAGAATAAGTGCTTGCCTGGCAAGCATAAGGTCCTGAGTTCAATCCCTGGGACTGCAAAAAAAAAAAAAAAAAAAAAAAAAAAGTATTATATGTAAACAAGTGTCTTATGCAGCACTTTTAATTTCTCATCCTGACATCAGATGTCCTAATTTATGATTATTATCAATGTTAGTATTATTTTCTCTCAAGAAAAAGTGTGGAAAAACATTTTTAAAGTTCTTAAACTCCCAAAGTACTATTTTCTGCACAATTGGCCATGCAGGCCATTTCAGAAAATTTAATAAAATATTACAAAAATTATCTACTCTGTCCTATCAGCCTTTAAAATAAAATATAAGACAGTAGTAGTGTGCAACTGATGTTATTAGTTTTTTTTTTTTTTTGCAACTGATGTTATTGACAAAGTAGTTGGTATCACCACTCTTATCTCAACCTATTTTGTGTGTGTGTGTGTGTGTGTGTGTGTGTGTGTGTGTGTGTGTCTGTGGTAGCAAGGATCGAACTCATGACCTTGCACTTGCCAGGCAGGCGCTTATGCCACTGAGCTCTATCCCCAGCCCCTCAACTTACTAATGGACAGAACCTTTGAATATAATGGAAACACATAAGCCAATGCTATAATTCATAGCAAAGAGCATACTTTTGGGGCTTCCTTCACTTTAGAAGCCTTGAAGACCTCGTATATATGCTTATAGTCTGGGCCATCAAGATGAATGCACATTTTACATGATAATCATGTGATATCCTGATGTTAATAATGTACAGTCATGATTTGAGGATGTAAGCAAGCCCATGCCTTCCCTGGATCACACTGTGAGGCGCTTGAGCTGTAAGACAGAAGCTCTAAATCAAGCAATGTGATTGCTTTTCAGGGGGCCAATGTGTTGATCCATTCAGAGGACAAAATTAAATTCTTTTGTATTGAGGTTCTTAATATAATTAAATGGACATGGGAGGGGAATCATTATCCAAAAAAAGAAATAGCCAACCAGAAAGGAAGGGATGCTTTCAGAGATAAAGCCCTTGACTTCAGCCGTGTACCCTTCCCTAACATCAGTGGAGACTTTCTTGTATCCTGACTAATGAAAATCGACAAAAGCATAGAATGTAATCTGGGAAGTCAGATACAATATAATCCTTGTAAGCATAAAAAAGCACTTTACATACTTTAAAAAACAACACAGAGTTAAAATTACCATTTATTGAAGGGTACTATTTCTTCATAATCCTAAATTTATGGCTATCTTACCAATTTCAGTTTATCTGTGATGGGAATACAGTTTTGTAAAATGTGTCACATTTTGATTGAATTAAATTCAGGCATTGTGCTGCTGACATACAAAGCAAATTTGACTCTGGAACCTGAAAAATTCCAGATTACCATTCATCACACAAAACACCATAAAATATTTCAAAATTCTGGTAGAAATTATAAAATATTAATGCATTATCTAATATTGTTTCTCTAAGTTACCCTTCTTTTTTTTTTTTTTTTTTTTTTTTTTTTTTTTTTTTTTTTTTTGTTTTTTGTTTTTTGTTTTTTGGTGGTACCAGGGATCAAACTCAGGACCTTGGGCCTGCCAGGCAGGTGCTTATGCCAGTGAGCTATTTCTCTCACCCTTTAAGTTACTCTTCTTCTTTCTTTTTTTTTTTAAGTTACTCTTCTTAAGGCAATTTAGGCTTAAAATTTATAAGCATAAAGGTGGATTGTGTGATTTCATGTCTTCTTTCATAAGTTTTTTTAAATGAGAAAGTCATCAAAAGTAATGACCAGTGCAATATAAAAGAACTATAAAATAATGAATACATGTACACATATATAGAATTTTGCACATATTTGAGTTATCTTAAGCTATATGAAAGAAAAAGGAGACATATTTTAGTGTTTAATTTTTGTTGTCACAGAACAATAATTATTGGAATTTAAGGGGATTTTTTTTTTTTTTTTTAGAACTGGGGAATGAACTCAGGCCCTTGCACTTGCCATGGAAGCATTTATTCCACTGAACCATTTCCCGGGTCCCTAAGGGTATTTTTTTCTAACAGCCTCCTTTTGTAGAGAAAAAACTGAATCCTAAAAAAGTGAAGTTAACTTTCTAAAATTAAATAGCCACCCAGGACAGAGTCCATGTACTCACAGGTATTTGACTGTGTCAGTTACAGTGGTGGTCACCCTAAAAGCCAAGTCTCTGACAACAGTCCGTGTGAATGGCATTGCTAAGGCCCATTGTTCTTTCCTCCAGCGATGATCTAAGTGTCATATCTATAATGTTTATTGGGAGCTTTCTGTTAGTGGTGCAATAAAATAGTCAGAAACAGGAAACAAGAGGAATTCAGCAGCACTCTCAACTCATAAAGGGAAAGGGGCTTCCAAGTAAGATAAATGGCCAGCACTTGTAAGCAAACTTAAATTGTTTGTCTGAAGAAGACACCTTTGAAAACCCAACACACTCTTTTTGCGGATCAGATAGAAAGAGTAAGTGAAGGTCATGTGATTAGCTGCTGAGCTGGGATTTACCCATGTGTATCTCTTTACTAAACGATGCTAAGGTATTTAAAAATAAGTGCATTCTTTCAGTGATCTTCCAGGAGAGAGGATATATGTGTTGATAGGTGTTTTTCAGGTGAACAGCGCAGCAGAGAAACAGGCAGAAGGAAAAAGGGAAAGGGACTTTGTTTTCTTTGAGGACACAGAAAGAACGTAAGGAAGATAAGAAATTCTCTGGGTTGCACAAAGGGAGGCTGAGGCTTTTATGACCTTTTGCCGGGGGAGGAGTTTGAAGGGCTATTTAGTTATACCTGAGAAACTGATTGGGGGTCTTCCCTGACAGGGCAGGAAGGGTGAAAGTAAATTATGTCCTGGGCTGAGTTGGAGAAGAAGGGGGAGGTGGTCTTTTGTTTTAAGGGCATCAGCTATATTAAATGACCACCATAATGATTTTAGCAATTCATACTAGGGCCTGAACCTATCATGTATGAGATGAGATATATACTCCTAATATTTGCTCTTTGAGGTTTGATCAGAGAGATTTACTATTCCAAAAGATCCAAAAACATAAAATTTTGAGGTAAGGTTGGGGATGTGGCACAGTGGTAGAGTGGCTGCCTAGCATGCACGAGGTGCCAGGTTCAATCCCCAGGGCTAAAAATAAAACAAAATCAGGGTAAATCTGTTTCAGTCCTCTTTTCCATGTGAGGATGGAATTCATGGTTTTTACAGTAGCTGTCCTAGGAACTTGCTGATAAACAATGAGAAAGAAAGAAAGAAAGAAAACTTCGGTTATAATTTAAACTTTAAACTTTCTTTTTAGGGCTGGTGAGATGGCTCAGTGGTCTAAAGCACCTACTTACAACAAGCTTAGCAAGCACAGGGACCGCAGTTCAATCCCCCAGCACCACATGCCAGCCAGCCCCGCCCCCAGTGGGCTGAGCTGGCCACATACACACACATAAAATTTCTTTTTAAAGGCAGATGAACATTTGTGAATGGGCTGTGGCTTATCACTTCTGTCCTATAGATGTGTAATAAACCATGTTCTTGAAGGACTTCACAGGCCAAGAAAAACTCATGTGTGATGATCAGCTTGCCTTTGTGCTGAATGAAAATAGACCTAATACTATAAGTACCTGAAAAGTAGCTTTTCTCTTATTGTTAAGGGTCACAGTATGCTTTTAAAAATTAGTGGCCGCATTAAAACACTGTTGTCACCAGGCATACTAATGAGCGATTGCCTTTCATTACATTCTAAATGTCTTATTATTTCAAAATTGAAAGATTAGAATTCATAAATGGTTTAAAAATAAGCTAACAGTGATACACATTTAAATGGACTAAAAGCCTGAATGAGTATTAATGGCCAAAATATTGATCGACGGCAGCTGGTGCACTTAGCAGTGTTCACTTAGGGCCTTGTGTCACCGCTTTGTGCTCATAAAAGAAAAATTGCCTCTTGCTCCCTGATAGCATTAGTATTCCATTACATAGCATGGGGCAGGGGTGGGGGCTGCGGCTGTACAGGACACTTCAGATGCCGTGCTTTTGTGGGCTGAGACATCAGCTTAGGGCCAGAGCAATTGAAGCCGTAGAAGTCTACCCTTGATTTCATGACTTCCCTGCATTAGGGATGGCCTCTCTATTCATGTTAAAACTGTACTCGGTGTTTAGTGAATACAAAGAAAATTTCAAGTCACAAAATTTATACTTTGAATTCATTAATCTGTGTTAGAATGAAGGGTTTCCTGATCCTTTTTGAATACACTTAGCTAAAGTTTAATAGGACCAATTTAATTTTAGTCAACAGCAAGTTTTTTAAGGTTTAAAGAAAATGATAGCTATGTAGCATACCATTAAGGATTTACAATTATCTTTTCTAAAAATTTTCTGCAGGCATGAATTTCATCCTAGCCCTCCCTAGGGGCCCCTAAAGATAAAATTG